TATTGATTTCCTGTCGTTTTATTTAGTTCGGGATCTGAAGTATTTCATTGGATATAAGAAGAATTATGTACAGAGTTTTTATACAGTTTATTAATACTTTAACATAGTTTCTTTTTGGTGTAGTTTGTTTCGATCCGTGTTAGAAGTCTGAATGTATGGGGTATTTGGAATGAGACCCACATACGACTGACAATTCTTAATGAAGTGATTGTGGTTTTTTTTTTTTGCAACCATTTCTCAAATTTTGAAACCAAATTACACAATACGCCGATAAAGGGTTTTATGAACCACTTAAAGACATTAGATTTTCATTCCGGACCTGGCCAAGGAGGCGTATATGTTTCTCGTGTTTAGTTTTATTTAGTGTTTAGAGAAAGTATTTGTTTTTAAGAAAAACGATGTTACAGACAAGTCGAAATGTATGATTAATTTATTTTTGTTCGAGCTTAATAGATCCTATAATACCTTGTTCAGTAATCCTATTAGTTGTTATCCTTATACTGTAATACTATGAATAACCAAGATTAAACTTGGATATTTGGGCGCGTCCCACTTTCATTTGTATCTGATTGCGTTGTTGAAATTCAATTGTCGATTTAGCGGACCTTTTAATATCTTTGGACCTGATCCGAATTTGTCGCTTTCTCTGAAACAAATAGAAACGGATAACGAATAAATGCGTTTTGAATAAAATACACTTAGGAGTAAAATTTAAATTGTAATCAGGGGGAAGCATTTAACTTTTCGGGAAGGAAAACTAGCGTTGGTGTAAGCTTTCATTTATTATCAGATTTGCTGTATAGAATGTATGCGTGCATATATGGTTGTTTTACGGCGATAGAGAATCTATGGATACTACAACTGTGTAGATAATAAGCTAGATTAATTATACGTAAATTATTAAACAGTATATGTGTAAACTTTATCAAATAATTAATTATAAAAAAAAATAGAACTTAAAATTAATATAAACTAAATAAAAAAACAACAATAACAACAATAACATTATCATCAACAAATTGTAGAAATCCTATCAATTGAGGGAATCAAAGAAAATATGGATGTAAAGTGAAAAAAGACAAACTAATGGTACAAAAGCACATAAAAAAATCATCAACAACAACGAAGAACGGGAAAGAAGGGTCATACAATTTTCAATCAAGGAACCAGGATGATGAAAAACTTTGACTCATATATATGTGTAAACAACAACAAAAAATAAACAATAAATATATTTAACAAGATCTTTTGAATCTCCACTAGTATGAATTGAAAAGGTTAAAATAATTCAAACCCATTTAAATAACAAAAAAAAACCCTCACCAATACTTTTATCAACTTATTGAACTTGTTTGTTGTATATATATATATGTATGATAAATGGATGGAAAATTATTTCTGGTCTTCTTAGGATTATGAAATGAATCTAATTAACAAAATATAATGAAATAAATCTAAGATGTATGCTTTTTCGGGACATAAATAGTCGGTAGGGTGGGCGTCCCCTTCAAACAAAACCAAAAATACACTATTTCTCTTGTTTATCATCATTAGTTTCTTCTTCTTCGTCTTCATCATCTTCTGAAATTGGTTCAATTTTTTCATCTTCTTGTGCTATATCCTCTTCAGTGTGTCTTTCAAGTACATCATCATCATCATGTTCAACATCTATTTCATCTTCTCTGTCTCCACTAACATGACTGCTTGGTCCAACACCAAAATGAGCCAATAAAGATTGAGCAGAAGAAGTATCTAAATATATAACCCCATTTTCATTAGTAATAGTATTTGAAGCCAATAATTTTTGTAATGAAATAGCATTAGTATTTAATCTAACTTCATCAGTTGCACGTTGTTCAGCATCTTCTTCTTCTTCCTTTTCATCTTCATCATATCCACCTCTTCCAAAGATAGAATTACCATTTGCTAAACCACCCCCGGCACCAGCAGCACCACCTCTAGATTGCCCTTGTTCACCAATATTATAATATTCTCCATACATTTCTTTATATATGTCATTATAAGGAGCTGAGATTGGACCATAAGTTGATAACATAGATTTATCCCCTTCGACAATTTCAATACGTTGGATAATTTTATCATACCATTGATCTAAAGTTTCATTTTTGGTATAATCTAATAATGCCACAATACAAATCGACATATTATCACAACCAATTCCTGATCCATCAGAAGTTGGAGCACAACATAAATCCATTATTTCTTCAGCGATATCAACCAAAGTTTTTCTTTCATATATTCCTCTTCTAACACATTCAACAGATTTTTGAGAACTTAAACAATCCCAAATCCCATCACAAGCCAAAATAACAAATTCATCAGTTTGTAAATTTATATCATGTTGTATTACATCAGGATAACAAGTAACAATTTGTTCTTCAGCCGGTAAATCTACATTTCTTTTAAAATCAAAATCTCCAATCCCACGAGATAATGCTAAATTACCATTCACTCTTCCCATATCAACATATCCTCCAGCAGCACAAATACGAGCCTTTTCACCTTCATTTGAAGGTTTATGATCAAATGATAAAGCCTTGGCATAACCATTAATCGACATTACCGTTCTTGAATCACCGGCATTACCACAGATGATATGGGTTGGGGTTATGATTGCACTTGTGGCAGCACATCCTGAATCATCATCTCTCATGTAGAAATCATTTAAGATTGCTTGATCACAAGCTAAAAACCCTTGTTTAAGGGCGTTAATATAATCTTGTTTTTGGAATGCTTCAGTTTTCCTAATAATATTATGAAGATGTTTAGAAGTGAATTTTGCCGCTTTTTCACCTCCATGACCGTCATAAACACCAAAGAAAGCAATATGTTCTTTAGTATTGCTGGTAGTGGTGGTGGTATTTTCTTGCTGCGGCTGTTCTTCTTTATTAGTAGTAGTTGTTGTTGCTTGTTCAATATGCAGTTTTTCATTATGATCATGATCATCTTCGTGAAGTCTATAAGTAGATTCATCATGAATATTTAAAATACTTGAATGAGCATCTTCCATATTAATTCTCCAACCTTGCATACATGATAAACTATATGCTAAATATTTATCTTCATCATCCCAAGAAAACTTCTCTGTAGCAGGAGTAGAAAGAATTTGTCCCATGATAAAATATGATTACTTATTTGGTTGTTTCGTTTTGTACAAATGTGTGTGTGTGTAAAATTATTTTGCCTTTCACTTTGAAAAATAAAATATAAAAAACTCCGAATGAATTTCTAGTTGGTGTTGTTGCTTATTAATTCCTTTGGTAAAAGTATTAGTAGTACTGGTAGGTTAATTTATATATTTACGTGTATGTTGGTGTAATAAATATATAATCTTGTGAATTAAGAATAAACAATCTGTTTTTTTTTTTTTCGACAATTATTGATTTTGTTAAAATTGGAATGATCGATGGATGTTTATTAATAACTTCAAAATCAATTTTTTAATTTAATTTAATTAATAGTCTTGAAAAGTATATTTGTGTATAAGTTATGATGATTGTATAAATAATAAAAAGATTCTCTTCTTCTTCTTCTTCTTCTTCTATTCCAATTTTTATTTTATTTTTTTTTTTTTTCTTTGCTTCTTCGTTTCGGTGGTGGTTTTTTTTTGTTGAATGTGAATAGAATGAGTAATTAAGAAATAAACAGAAGTAAATTATGTCGCCACCCTCAGGCAGGGTAACTAATGATTTTATTTAATAATTTTTTAATTGTCTTGTGGGTAGAAGAAGAAAAATTACGAAATTTGAGTCACAAGGAAAATAAACTTACTACTCCGAAAATTCCTATTGTCAGTCACGTGCCCGAATATAGGATAAAAATCTTAGATATTGGAAAATGAATAGTCAAGTCTTTTAGTATCAACAGGTATATGTTTGTCAAGGATCTACCCTTATCTATAAGGTTTAATGTACTTTGGGGAGACTCCATATTTCTTTTGTACCAACTATTTTATAACGAAATAATTTGAATGATAATAAATAGACTAAAGCTGAGATCTTAAACTTTGGTTGCAAAACTGAGATCTGATGAGTAGTATTACAAGTTTTCTTTGGACAATCTTCGGGTAATGATAGCATTACAATTGGAGAACTACAAGACTTGTTAATTGAGTAGCTGCGGTATTGTAGCCACTAAGAAAGGCTTATTTCCAAATATATCCAAATAATTCTGTCACCTCTGATGAATCATTAGAACTGTCCTTCATGGATGTTGCCAAAAAAACATGCTGCCAAAAAAGTCAAGGGTTCTAAAGAGATGGGATACAATGAAAGTCATTATACACATACTGTCTTAGTTCATTATTATAATAATCATCGTCTCTAAATTCACTAAATAAAAAAATAATATATAATATAAATCAAACTAAGCTATACTAACTAAATACAAAACAAATCATCTCTTTCTTTCCGTCTTTCTCTTTCTCTTTAGCTTTCTCTCACTCTCTCTCTTCTGTCCTTCTCTCTATGAATCATAACATACACATCTATCATTTCATTCGATAATACACACACTTCTCCTGTCTCTCTCTCTCTTTATCTCTCATCATCCTCTCGTTTTATTCTTCATCGTTTGTATCTTCTCGTTTCATCTTCTCTTCTATCATCAAACATAAAATAAATCACAACATATGAAGAAGATAAACAAAAATCATAAATTAATTAATACTTGTAAAACATAAAAAAAAAATCATCATCATCATTATAATCATGATAACATGGGAAAACATAAAAACAAAAACGTCACTCATTTATTTCGGTCCCCAAATTCCACCACCACTACCACTACCACCACTTTCATAATTATTATTATTATTATTACTATTTCCTCCTCCACTATTATTACCACCACTACTATTACCACCCAATCCAAGACTATTGAATTTATGACTCAATCCATCACCACCACTCATTGAAGATCCAGGATTATTACTATGATTATCATCACCACGGGAAGTCACTTGTGGCAGCAACGCCGTAAAACTCCCAGTTAATTGATTATTCTGGACTCCAAATGGTTGAAAACGAGAATTTATATCTGTTGACGATAACGGAGTCTGAGGCTGTGATTGATGATATTGTTGTTGTTGCAGATGCTGTTGCTGTTGATATTGTTGTTGTTGGAGATGATGATGGTGGTGTTGGGAGATTTGTTGATGATGAGGGGTTGGTGAATCATTAAGTGAAGACATCTGGTGCTGCTGCTGTTGATGCTGTTGTTGTTGTTGGGAGAATTGTGGTGGAGTAGATCTAATATCCACATATGATCTACTGCTATTTGATCTCAATAATGCAGCAGCACTAGAACCCAATGTTGGAGTGACAGCTTGTTGTGCTTGTTGTTGATGTTGCTGTTGTTGCTGGAAATGTTGTTGTTGGGAGGTTGGCTGTTGTTGTTGTTGTTGTTGATATGCATATTGTGGGGTTTGACCATATGGTCTTTGTGGTTGAGATTGGGTAATCACTTGTTGTGATTGAATTGTTCCACTTCCACCACTGCCATATTGAGGCATTGTTTGTAGAATTGGGGTGGATGCCTGTTGTCTTAATCTAGGTAATGGTAATGCCGATTGGGATTGAGATCTCAATAATTCAGGATGAACAGGATTAGTACTGGCCACACCACCACTACTACCACCACCACCAGTTGTATTACCACTCAACATTGCACCTGCAAGTTGATTCAAATTCATCATGGACGATGAATGATGTGGTGGTGGGGGTGGAGCTGGTTGCGATTGGACAACTTGAGTTTGTTGATTCATTGAAACATAACCCGGTTTTCTTCTGATAATTATAAGTCCATTATCAAACAATTCTAATAAATTCAAATAATTGGCAAGTATAGATAAAGTTTTTCTATGAATCATATTCATATTCACCGGTGAAATAGCCACTTCATAGACTGATTTAGATAAATCATCACGATATAAAACCAATTGAGTATATAATTCCAAAATCTCAGGATCATTAAAATTCAATTCTATTGGTGGAGTTGAAAGAATACTATTAAATGGATAAGTGAAAAATGCTCGTTCAGTCATCATTGCAGAAGGAGTACCACCACCATTTATACTGAAATTTTTGGTGGCAGCAGTTGTAGATGCTGTAGAAAGTAGTGAAGCCAAAGATGCATTTGAAGTAGATCGATGTTGTTCTTCTAATTGACCTCTTTTTTCTCGTTTTTCCCGTTCAATCCGTTCACGTTCTTGTAATGGTAACATCTTCTTATATTCAACTCGTAATTTACGTCCACCAATTTCTCTACCATTTAATTGATTAACAACTAATGCAGTTTCATCAGTAGATGTAAAATTAGCAAAAGCTAATCCTCGGAATACACCATTATCAAAATGATAATTAAATGCATAAGGTAATGGTAAATTTAATTTGGTCATAACATCTAATAATTGTTCTTTTTTAATTGCAAATGGAATATTTTTAATTACAATAGCAGTAGGAATTAAATCATCATCAACTTCATCATTTGTGGCAACTGTACTAGATGCCACATGGATATTAGGAGTGGTTATATTAATATCATCATTAATTTGAAGGTCATTAGTTGCATTAGCATTAACATTAACGTTTTCGTCATCATTTCTAATGGAATTAGTAGATGAACCTGATCTATTTTTTGAAGTCAAATCAATAGATTGGTGTGGGTGCTGTTGGTGGTGGTGCTGCTGTTGTTGTTGTTGTTGCTGTTGTTGTTGTTCAACCCAAGGACCCACATTACCAGCAGCAGGCAAGTTCATTGGTTGATTAAGCCAAGAAGAGGTTTGTAAATTCATATTCCTAGTAGCTAATCTTTGATTAGTTAATTGAGGAGTATTTGATGCATGGGTATGAGTATTACTATCATTTTGATTACCACCATAAGTTGAAGATGCATATCCTGAAGTGGAAGATAATGAGGATAAGGATGGACGACGTTGAATATCCATTTGATTTGGTAAGTTTCTTAAATCCATCTTTTTGTTTCACTTGAAATGTTTCCTTTGTTATTTGTTCTTATTGAAAGCCCAAAAAAAAAAAAATTATAGTGTGAAAGTTTTTAGTTTTAATGAGTGAGAATTAAGTGAATGTGGGTGTGTGAGTCTTTAAATCTAATTGGAAAATAAAATAAAATAAATAATAATAATGAAAGAAACAACCCTTTTTCTGTCGATTATAGTTTTATTGAAAGTTGATTGTTTATCTGAATGTAAAACTTGATTGATATATATTACTTTATTGAATCAGATAAATTTTGATTGGATAAACTGGTGGTTGCCTTTTTGTACTCTAAATGGAAATGAAATACTGAATCGATTGATTTCTATTCAAATATTATGAAAATTGAATATATCAAGGTAGGCAAAATGGTTCTCGGTTAGGATGATCGAGGTTAGGAAGTTGGGACTAATACAATCAAACAGTGTTGATGGAATGGATTTGGGATTGGTTGAGTACTATTGTATTGTTTCTGGAAAAAGAAAGAAAGAAAGTAAAAAAAAAAAAAACCGTTTCTCTTACAGGGAAAAAGAAAATTTGGTCAAACAGGAAAAATTATTTTATTGTATATTCCCTCCCTCCCATTTTAATTTTTTGTTTTACTCTCATTCAATTTCTCTTACTTAATTTTTATTTTTAATTGGTAGCGTTGACCTGATACACTTTGACCTGGCTCTAGACGCATATTCTGTTAATATATAAAGTTCTATCCAAAACTATGAACTCTCACAACTAACCAAAACTATTGATTTTCTCCATTTCACCTATCCACAACTCTCTAGTTACCATTACGGAGGGACGTCTCAGAACTGGGAAGAGTCCGATCATTTCTACCTCGTGCTTGAACAGCACCTCTATGATGTTCCCCCCATGACAATAGAGAAGTGCAAGAATTTGAGGGACCGAGCTGATACAAGTCAGCGATATGTATTATGTTTTAAACTACGTTAGAATATGGGGCGATCCAATGATATTTTATATTTGTACATTCTTCTAGTGTACATCTTTTTCAGAGATAGTGTAGATAACCACACACTTTAAGCTTTGGCAGTAAATTATAGTGGAGCCATGTGCCTAGTCAATAATTTTATTAGTACGAAGTGTACAGAGAATTTTAAAGTAAAGTGTCCTCGTTATGTTCACACTACTATGGGGACTGCTGTCAAAGTTCCATTTCCCTTAGTAGACAAGTGTGCGGCATGTTCGTCCTTATCGCTACCAAATGCGTGGTTTATTTTTTTTTTTTTTTGGTTCTCTTTCATTTCAATTCTTTCATCAACGCAACGAAAATTTCGAACAACGAACAACGAAACAAAAATATGAACCAAAAA